CCGCACCAGAGAGCACTGAGCCCGCCCGGCGTCCTAGAACCCACAGCCCCGCCAGCCCCATGCCAACCCCATGCCAGCCCATGGGCGGCAACCACTCCACCCCCTCGCCTGGGCTGTCGCAGGAGGCGTGGCCAGGCGCGACGCGCAACCGCAGGACCCTGCAAAAGGCCGGGCTTCACCGGCGCCCAGCCCCCGACAAGCAGCCTCCACTGCGCAGGCGTGAGCAGCCCGGCGCCGAAACCAGGCTTCCGAGCCTCTAGGCTCTTTTGCGTTAGGGGCTGGGCCTCTGATGCAATCACAATTGGGGCGGAGCTTTCAGTGGTCACGCAGCAAATTTGCATAAAAGGATGGGGTCCCGCAGTCTTGATAGCCCTAATTAACGTATCGGTGCAGTGCTTACGTTCTTAACCAAAAGCGAGGGGCGGGAGACGACAGTGTCAGGAGCCTGTGTGGTATAAAACACGTTTATTTCACCTTCAACAAGGGCCCCTGCATTGCAGCTGCTTTACATCTGATTTGCATCTTACGTACGGTTCGTAGTAAGTACGGTCTGGTTCAGCCAAACCCACTGGGCGTGCGCCGTAGCTGTATCCCTCCGAGAGGTTTCCGGTAGCAGCGCGTGACCAGAACAGGTCTAGAGCGAACCTCTGCTCAGAACAGCACGAGAAGTTCCATCCTCTTTGCTACTTCCGGTCCTCCCGGATGTCCAATGGAGCAGTTCCCCGGAAGTGACGCACACAGAAGAATCCTTTTTCCGGTTCCGGCGTAGGGAGCGCGCGTGCGGCGACATGAAACTGCTCACCCACAATCTGCTTAGCTCGCACGTGCGAGGGGTGGGGCCCCGTGGCTTCCCCCTGCGCCTCCAGGTACCGGCCGGGGGTCTCTGACCCCTCTCTCAAGTGGGATAGGGGAACCAGGGTCCGGTCTTTACCTTAACTAAGCTTCTCCGCCCCGCAGGCCACCGAGGTTCGCATCAATCCTGTAGAGTTCAACCCGGAGTTCGTGGCGCGTATGATACCCAAGGTGGAGTGGGCGGCGCTTCTGGAGGCGGCAGATACCGTGAGGACCCTCCCCCAGCCCGTGTTCATCCCGGGGGATGGGAAGGCGCGGGCTCTTCGGGTCTGCTGGCCGGAGGGGTGGGGTCTGGGATGGCCAGAGGTGATTCAAGCCTCTTGCCCACAGTTGCATTTGGTCGAGGTACCCCAGGGGCCGATTCAGGACTACGAACATGACGAGAACTTTCTGAGGAAGATGCACCATGTGCTGCTGGAGGTGAGAGCTGGTCCGTCACTCGCCCTCCTGGCCACTGGCCTCTCACACCGAGGCTCCCAGTGCTCAGCTGTGTTCTCCCTGTGCTCATCCCAACCCCCCCACAGGTGGACGTGGTGGAGGGCACCCTGCAGTGCCCGGAGTCTGGACGTCTGTTCCCCATCAGCCGCGGGATCCCCAACATGCTGCTGAATGATGAGGAAACCGAATCTTAAGCATCCCAGCTCCAGTCTTCATTGTGTGACTGCATGTCTTTCTTCATGTATATCTTGTGTGTACGTGTTCTGCCATGTGAATCCCCGACCCTTGACCCAGCGACACACAGAACATGGTGTTCTTGAGCTCGATAGTATATATTTTTTTTCTCATTAAAGGTTCAAAACCAAAAGCGGTTTCTCTTTGCAGCAAATATACATTAAAATAGAGTCTCTGTACAGCCAAGGGCTCTGGGCCCTGGCTTGCCCCATGTCCCTGCGCCTCCCTGGCCAAACCCAAAAATAAATATAGTGTTATTGCTCTGCAGGGCATAGAGGCAGTGCTCTCCCTCCCCCCTGAGGAGGCTGGGTGGGAGCTAGGGGGCCCTGGCCACCCCAGGGGTCCAGGGGCTGGAGCCTGCTTGGAGTTATTGCTTCAAGGGGGGGCATTAATGCCCAATGCAAACGATGAGGAGAGGAGCGAAGGGGGCAGGGGCCTTTGCTCTCCAAGTCCTCCTCTACTCTTGAGAGGGGATCGGATTAAGCAGCAGCAAAAGCATCACCCACTGGGAGACTATGGCCTCCATCCCCTTCCCTCCCTGAGATCAGGCTTCTGCCTCCCACACATCCCCTGCAGCCCCCTATGGCTTCCGCAAGGCCCCCTACACTCTGGGGGCACATTATGGCTTGCAAGGGGCAGCACTGCCCAGAGCCTGGGCTCACACTTTCCCCAGCTTCTGATACCCCCTGGGTCGGGGGAGGAGAGGGCATGGGGCCTGCTCCCAGGGGCTGATGGCATTGCCCTGGCCCTGCCAGCAGGTTGTGGCACTGCCCAGACCCCAGCTCTGCCCCCTTGGGGCTAACCCCATGCTGGGCAGATCCTGCCAGCACCCCCACCCACCCCACCCCTTGCCTCAGTCCATCATGGCCTCAAGCATCTCCAAGAATAGCTTGTGCATGGGCACCTTGCCCTCCAGCTTCACCCCATAGAAATGGGCCAGCACTTTGCCCGCTGTCTGGCGAAGGAGTGGTAGGGTGAGCAACAGCATCCCTGCCCGCCGCCGTTCAGCACCTCCTCCAGGGCCAGCCCGGCCAGCTTCGTACTCCAGCAGGGCCTCGTGCAGGGCTTCTCGCAGCTGCTCTACAGCCTCAGCATCTTCAATGTGCACAGAGTCTGCAAGGAGAGGAGAGAGAACTGTTGACCTGGGCCATCTTTGAAAAGGGCAGAACCCACACGTGCTTGGGCACTGCCACACAGGCCTGAGGAGTAGCCAGACGTGGATTTGCTGATTGGCTGACTTGAGGGGCACCTCACAATGCTCCTGCCCATGAGCCAGCTCCCACTCTTGAATTTCCCAAAACCCCTCCTACTGAACTGTTCATCTTTCCATGTCAGCATGGCACTAGGGCTCAAAATCCTGTGTACATTTTGGAGCCTGCCCTTGGCTCACTTTGTGACTTCCAACAAGTCATTGTTCTTCCTAAGCCTCAGTTTTCCTTGTCTGCAAAATGGGACTGTACCACCAACTGAAGAGTTAAAAGTGAAAGGCCTACGGAGAGGCCTGCCAGTACCTGCCCCAGACTCACCTGAATTGTGAAGGGCCAGG